AATCCAGTCTTTGGAGGCCTAGCGGCCCGTCTCATGTTAGTATCCGGAATCAGCACATTCGATTACCTATTGTTCACTAAGTTTTAAGCTAGAAGCGATTTATCACTTGGTGTCCTTTCCTCGTTAGAGGCTAGATATTCTTCTTAATCTGCTAAGTTCAAAATGCTAAAATCGAAACTACTGACACTGATTCTTCCGTGACACGTATTTCAGTTTTTATAACATGAGCCAAAAAAATTAAGCATGAATCTTTTTCATATAGATATTATTTATGAGCATCAATCAATCATGAAGTTGACCATTTTACCACCACTATTATCGACTCTTCCGACCGTTTATTTATTTTCAACGATCTTCAAGGTGTTACCGAAGTTAAGCATTTATCTTCACATGCAGGAACAGCTGTTTATGTAGTAAAAAATTAATTAGTTATTTTTTTTCTTTTTCTGTGACACGTCACATCTAAAAGTGTTTATTGTATTACCATTGAGCAAACTAAATCTAGTCTATCTAATAAAATCACTTTCTGAAAATACAATGAAGACACACGATCTCGCAATGTGATTCACTTGTATCTGGCATTAATAAGAAAACTATTCAGTAACATATCAAAAACAGATAAAAATTCAAGATTTTAAAACACATATAAAGTTCGCCCTACCTACACAAAGAACTACGTACTGTATAACTTATACCTCGGTCAGTAAAGAGAACAGATCTTGAAATCTGTTGTACGACTAATCACCTGTAATATCTCATAAGAACTATACCAATGGATAGAGCACTTCAAGTTGTACTTGGAACAGGAATAGGGACTTTGGAACAGGTCTCTAGACGAATATGGACAACTTTTACTCGAATCTGGTGCTAACTTCACTTACATGCAAAATATGGTCAACATCAATTTTGTGAAGAATTTAATTGCGCATCTTTTGAAAATAGATTGAAGTTTTCTCAAGCTTTCAATACGGAAATAAAGTACATCCGCCACTACTTTTGGACTGTCCTAAGTAGAACGACGAACTGTCTAAAACTTGATGTTGTCACTCAAAAACCGATAAAACGATTTGGCCAAAATGTTTTCTGGTAGTTTATTTTAAATCGAAGTCAAAGTCGTCGCTTAACAAATCTGTTTGGCCGACAGAAAAAAATAACGTTTCTTGTCAAAATTGAAAAACAAACCCAGAATGTTCAAACTTCAAACTAATTCTTTTCAGTTGTACCGCTTCAGAAGCTGTACGATTTGATTCACATTGACAAGCTGAGTTTCTTTATGCGTTCAATGGCTTCACGAACTTTGTCATCGTCTGCATAAATTTGTGGTAACCGTATACCATCCTGGTAGAACGCACCATTTTCGAGCTCATCTGGAGGAGTGTTGACTACATGTAAGATGGAAACTGCACCAAGTTCCGGTGGCCGACTACCTTGAGCATGTCTATTTATATCGGTGCTACAATAGCCCGGACACACAGCATATACAAATACTTTCTTCGCATTAGACCATTGACGTGCTTCGATTTGAGTGAGCGCGATAAGAGCTGCTTTGGAGACGCCATAAGGCAAAAGGGGCAACTCGCTGGTATATCCAATTTTTTCGACAGTGTTAGTTTCGACTGCTGAAATAAAATCTTCAACAAGCCGATCTAATTGTTCTGTAGTCAGCGTTGATGATGTGTATTTTTGTTGAAGATCTTTCGAGACACCATGCAATGTCAATGCGCCCGCTCTACTAGCTACATTGATCACACGGCCATTTTCGCGTAACAGAGGAATCAAATTTTCATTGAGTGTTTTGATACCATAATAGTTAGTAGCGAACGTTTCTCGAGCTGCCTGGATGCTTTTGTCTTTGGGAACAATACCTGCATTGTTGATGATTATATCTAGTTGACCGCCGTATTTTTGTTTGATTTCATCAGTGGCATGAGCAATGCTCTCGTCTGACGACGTGTCTAATTGAAGAAGG